ATAAACATTATTGTATAAAAATTTGTTTTGCCAAGGGCAAGCATTACCTGTGGAAAGAATTCAGCTTTCATGAGGAAGAAAGTAGTATTTCAGGAACTATCTACAGAATTTCCATTATCCAAAGGTACATTACGCAGATCTCCAAGGTTACATGCTCTCCAGGGCACATTACAGAATATATGCAAGATTTCCATTTTCCTGACAGAAACAATTACAAATGCCATGCAAGAATAATTTCATTCAAGGAAGTGAAACAGGAACCAGAAATTCTGTTAGGTAAGTAACAAATGCTTATGCTAATGCTACAGTTGCAAACCAAAAAAGACTAGTAAACAGATAGGTATTTATAGTTATATTAAAAATTATTTATGTGGTTTCATAATAGGGAACTAAGTAGATATTATTTGACATAGGATCACAGAATCTTTTAGGTTGGAGAGGATCCTTAACACCACTGAGTCCAGCTGTAGACACTGCCAAGGAGTGTGATCACTAAACCATGCCCCTGTCTTTTAAATCCCTCCAGGGTGACTCAACCACTTCCCTGGGCAGCCTGCTTTCTCTTTGGTGGGGAAATGTTTCCTAATATCCAGTCTAAAACCTCCCCTGGTGCAACATGAGGCCATTTAGAATCACAGAATCATAGAATAGTTTGGGTTGGAAAGGACCTCAGGATCATCTAGTTCCAACCCCCCTGCCATGGACAGGGGCACCTCCCACTAAACCATGCTACCCAAGGCTCTGTTGAAACAGGATTGCTTCTCATCCTGCTTGTTACTTGTGAGGAGAGACCAACCCTCACCTCACTATAACCTCCTTTCAGGTAGTTGTAGAAGGCAATAAAGTCTCCACTCAGACTCCTTTTCTCCAGACTAAATAGCCCCAATTCTCTCAGCTGTTCTTCATGAGACTTGCTTTCTACACCCTTTACCAATGTTGTTGTTCTTTGGATCCCCTCCAGCACCTCAGTGTCTGTTTAGTAGTGAGAAGCCCAAAGCTGAACACAGTATTTGAGTGCAGCCTCACCAGTACTAAGTTCAGGGGGCAGTTAACAGCTTTAGTAATAATATTTACCTTAAAAGTTTTAGCATATGTTTTAAACTAAATTGCTTGGATACCAGAAGTCTCCATCCTGTGTCTGTTCTAGTAACACTAGCAAGCACTACCACGTGTCCTCTTAATAGCAGACATCACACTAGCAGTTCTTATTAAAAAACAAAAGTATGTGGAAAAGAGAAACTTGCTTTGATACCTCAACAGCTGCGAAGCTGCAGAGTCAATGCGAGTTTGCTACTGGGGCTAGATTCTTGCTTGTTTCGCTGACTCAGTATTTGGGCTTTAAGTCTTAATAAAGTGATAGCATATGCAGAATGCTCAAGTTCTATGTTAGTTCTTTATAGGAAAATTCAAAAAAGTTTCTAAAATATACTTTGAAATGTAGCACTATGAATAAAACATGATTTTTTCAACAATCATTTTGTTTCAACCAGAGGATATGCTAGCACCATAGATTCATTTTTAATTTCACTCTAGACAGCTCCAGGATATTTTGACATTTTTTTCCACATTTTTTTCCCCCAGCTTCTGTGGAGTGAGGAATAACCAAACAGAACACATCTTTAATAAAGCACAGAATCAGAGTAGCAAAGATATATAAGTAAGTACTAACATAACTTATCTGAGCCAGCCTGTGCTTGTGTTGGAGGTTACCAACATTTGAAACTAGGCTGGAATAAAGGTGCACTCAGAGTTGATAAAGGTCCTGCTGCGTGTGTTCTTAAGACAAGGTTAATGGTCTCTCCCACCATATATCTGTTTCAGTAGACATTAGGGTATTTGCTGTCATGTTCTGCTGGATTTAGTAGTCTGCCTTTAATGTGGTCAGTCTGTCTGTCTTTAAGGTAGTCTAATTCTTCTCTTGATATTCCCCCCTTCCAACTACTTGGTGGAAAAAAAAAAAAAAAATCCCATGAAAAATGCTATCAAAACAGTAATAATTTTTAGAAGTAGCACAACATACCACACAGTATACCAGCAACAGAGTCAATAGGAAGCCTCCTTGGGTTTAGGATGGAATTTGTGATTCATACAAAGGACAGAAATTTAACTCCACTTTATCTGGAAAGTGAGAGATCCTGTTTGAAGTCTTGTCTTCTGCTTGACTCTAGAGGGGGCCTTGAAGCTACACTGCCTAGGTGAGCTCCCTAGCTAATGGCTGTTGTGGGCTATGCCACAGTATTCAAACTCTTTCCAAATGCAAAACAACACTGACTTTCAAAACAGAGTTTTCTATGCAGCTGTGCTGAGCAGTTGCCTTCATCAGCTTAAAATTAGGCAGGTCTCACCCAAGGACATTATTACATATTTCTTCCTTGTTTCAAGGTTAGATATTTTTAGGGATTTTATAACAACCACTGCAAATACTACTTTCTTGTAGTAGAAGTCATTTATAATGCTAAAAAATGATCTTCTATTCAGCCACAATAACAATACTACCCCTTAGTCAAGTAGTAGTAGCATTTACCAGACTTTTCTGGTAAAGAAGAGTAGCAATTTCCATGACTTTTCAGGCAGTGGTAGAAGTAAACACTTCTGGATTTGGGTTGTTTTTCTTATCTATCTCTTCTCTAGCCACTCTTCTCCCTTATTGACCTCCAGGCAAGCATATAGGATGTTCATATTTTCAAAGTGTTCTTCAGTTTTGGGTTCTTTACTTTTTCATGAAGCAGCTTATGTGTGAAGCTTCCCACACATTAGCTATACAAACTTCTGAAATACAGTGAAGTATTTCTCAAACATATTGAAAACCATAGCACTATTCAGAAGGAAATCATAGAAACACTGCTATCTCAGGATTCAAAATCAGTATCAATTTTATTTTTTTAAGAAATCAATATTCTGTTATAAAGTTTAGTGGGGTAAATTGTGAGTCAGCCATTATGATGTTAAAGACAGCAGCTGTCTTGAGCTGCAGTACTTCTTAACTAAACAAAGTCTCTCCTAAAGCCATTTTAAAACCTCAAAATATTTTCATCTTGTCCCATTTTATACACCAATATATATTAATTTCCACATATAACAACTTAAACTTTATATGTATTTAAATGTATAAAATACTAATAAAACCTTTTCAAAATGTACAATTCTAATCTAAAGACAGCATATGTAAATACAGAATCATGGAAACAGACGTGGAGATAGGAAGATACCTGCCAAGGGCTTTAGTCCAAACTCCTCCTCCTCAAAGCAGGCCCATTTGCCACAGGTTCCTGAGGGCTGTGCACAGTAAGTTTTGGATATCTCCAAGGATAGAGGTTCCAAAGCCCAGGATACTTTTGACACTGTTTAATTCCCTGCTGGTAATTTTTTTATTCATCTTTGCATTACTGGACTTTCCTGTGTTCTGACTTATGTCCAGTGCCTTTCATACTACTGTTGTGTACATCAGAGTCTGATACTGTGATGTATCTTTTAATCAGGCAATTGTAGACACCAGTAAAGTCCCACACAAGCTTTCTTTTCTTCAACCTGGACAGACCCAGCTGTCCCAGTATCTTCTCACACATCCTGTGCTCCAACCCCCTGGCCATCTTGTATGCCTCTGCTCAACTCACTCTACTGTGTTTGTGCCCTCCCTCACTGAAAATCCAAACCTGGGTGTAGTACCCCATGTGTGGTTTCACGAGTGTCAAATACAGAGGAAGAACTTCTTTCCTGGACTTTTTGGCTACACTCTTTGCAACACAGCCCACTTTGCAGCTGACCACACTCTTCTGCAAGGCACACTGCTGTCCCATGTTCAACTTGTCCACTAGGACCCAGATGTTCTGCAGTTGTTTCCCAGCCCATCAGCACCTAGGCTATACTACTGCACAGTGTTATCCCATCCCAGAAGCAGGACTTCACATTTGGCTTATCTGAACTTCATGAGGCTTTAGCTGACTCACGTCGTAGGCCTGCTGAGGTCCCTCTGAATAGCATCCCTGCCCCACAGGGCATCATCCATTTCTTCCAGCTTGCTATTACTCGTGAATTTGCCCAGAATACACTCTGTCCCATCATTCAGGTCATTAAGAGATGTTAAACTGAATTGGACCAATATCAGTCCCTAAGGAATGCCACTAGTATCAGGCTGCCAGCTGGACTTTGCACTGCTGGCCGTTACTCTTTGAGCCCAATTGCCCAAGCAATTTCAGAGCCCCCCCTAACAATCTACTTTCCAAGTTCATATCTCATAACTTTGGCTATGCTGTAAGCCATCACACCAAAGCCTTTATTAAAGCCAAGATAAACATTTGTTGTCCTCCACTTGGCCACACAGACAGGCAACTTGTCAATACCCAGGTCAGCTAGGTACAATTTTCCCTTGGAAAATTAACACTTATAGTTTCCAAACTTGAATTGTTTTTTATGTGTTTGAAAATCTTTGAGGAGTATTTGTTCATTAACGTTCCCACAGACTGAGGTAAACATACTTTTCCAGATCCTTCTTCTTGCCTTCTTTGTGCTTGTGAAGGCACAAAGGAAGGGCATAAAGTCACAGAAAGGTTAAAATTTACTGAGGAAAGAACAGTCAGGAGTAGACAGTGAAACTTAAGATACCCACACAGTATCTCTTCTTCCTCTAATTCACTATCTAATTAAAGGACTTTAATGATTCTTTCTTCACTGTTTCTTCTCTAGATTTTTTTTTCTTTTTTTAGGAAAGATATCACTTAGATGATAAGAACACTTAGCATCTTTACCTCAAACTATGTACTTTTCACAGGCCAAGACAGAGTAAGCTTCATAGCCTTTCAAAATACTTCTGTGTATACCCCTTTGATGAGGCTCCATCTCCACCCATCTGAACAGGATCATGCAACTTAACCATTGTGGAACTGTGTTTCTTGAAAACAGCTCCAGTTCTGTCTTGAGAAGTTGAGAAGAGGACCAGTTTAGTTTGACACCCACAAACCCATTGACTGCAGAGAGATATTTGAAGGGCAAGCTAATTGAAGTAATTCAAACATCACCTTCAAAGCTTTATTCTTCCATCTACAGTTGCAAAGCTCACAGAAAAAAAGGATGAAAAAAATCAATAAAGATTAATAAACATATTGTTGACCTAAATTCTAATTGCTCTTCCCATACCTGCCCAGTTAGCTGCCCACTTACTCTGGAGGAAGCAGGTTGGTCTGTTGTTATCCGTGAGTCTTGAATTTCTGTCAATACACACTGGCAATGTGTAAGAAGCTGCTTCCCAAAGAAATCCCTCATTTCAAGTTTTGGAAACTATTAGTTTAGCATATTCCTTATTTTCCCCAAAAATAAGCTAGGAATAAATAAACCACTCTAGCTGAGAGTGAACCAAATATATAGCTCCATTTCAAATAGTAATCCTATTGGATCTTTTATTTTTTTTGTCTTAAGAGCATTACCTATAGCATTATTTAGCTTCTTTTTGCACTTTCTCAGACTTAATGCTATTCATTCAAGCAGGATACTATCACAGAAAGTTTGAAGTCTATATACAGCAACAAATATCTCCCACTTTCTCCACAGAAACATAGCCAACTGGGTTTCACAGGGTGGTGGCAGAGCTTTGGCGTCTGAATAGAAACTTATTCCAGCTACTTAATAAGTTTTAAAAAAGTTGCATATCAGATAAAGACTATCCCTTTTTATTACATGTAGCTAAAAGAGACATTCCAGTGCTAGACAAAAGCTTCTAAAGCCTGACTCAGTGTTAATTTTGAATTATCGTATACTTTTATTCAGTTAGTATAGCAGGTAATCCACTGATGTTTGTTAGATACCCCTAGAGCACCACTTCTGAACAACTTAAGTTGCAACTATCTGATTTGTGCATCTTCCATGAATGAAGAAAAAAGCCCACAGCAAAAATCCGTTTATTAAATGCCTGTAGATGTTCCTATAGTTCTGTATCTGAGATGGTGTTTCAAAAACTTCTGCTGCTTCCATTCATGTCCTGAAGGATTGTTTTGATGACCCTGCCAAGGATATTGACCATGTATAGTTGATATTATACAGAGGAAGATTGTCATGTAGTTGCAGTTAATAATTCCTTTTCTTGAGTGTTTCACTCAGCTCATTGTTGAACAGTTACACAGCAAGCCCTAATGGAGAAGTACCATATTATTAAATAAAATTTATTTCTTCTAAACCTGCATTTTTTCACTGATAAATGAGTTACACTGTGTATTAGCTAGACACTTTTAGGACATTCATAAGTATTCTGAAGAGGACCCTCACAGGCTGATGTATTTTAGGCACAAAATTTTTCCTTAGTGTGTATGTTCAAGAATCTGTTGTGAACTGCTGCTTGAGGGTACTTCAAGTTTGTTGATGCCCTCAGCATTTAGAAATGCTGTATACTGATCTTATACATCTGTGGAACGGGATGGTCATTTATGTTTTGCATATATCGTATTAAAACACAGGCGTGTGGAGAGTTTATTTAATAAAATCGATTTTTCTCAACAAGGCAGGAGAAGAAAAAAAAGATTTGTTTAGTGTTCTGCTCTTTAAAAAAAGAGCTTAAAGTTTCCTAAACCTTTCAGAGCTATCCCAGCTCACCATTTGTAATGCTTTGGCTCACTGTTGAACGAGGTGGGTGCCCTGGAGACAGAGGATTTAAAGAAGGCAGAGGTGCTGAATGCCTTCTTTGCCTCTGTCTTTACTCCTGCAGACTCTCCCCAGGGGCCCAAGATTCCTGTAGCCCCAGAAGGAGTCAGGACAAAGGAGGAGTTTGCTTTGGTAGATGAGGATTGGGTTAGGGATCAGTTAAGCAATCTGGACATCTATAAGTCGATGGGTCCGGATGGAATACACCCACAGGTGCTGAGGGAGCTGGCGGAGGTCACTGCTCAGCCACTCTCCATCATCTTTGGTAAGTCATGGGAAACGGGAGAGGTGCCTGAGGATTGGAGGATGGTAAGTGTCACGCCAGTCTATAAGAAAGGGAAGAAGGTGGACCAGGGTAATTATAGACTGGTCAGCCTTACCTCCATCCCTGGAAAGGTGATGGAACAACTTATTCTTGACACCATCTCTAGACATATCAAGGATGAGGGGGTCATTAAGAGCAGCCAACATGGTTTTACCAAGGGGAAGTCATGTTTGACCAACCTTATAGCCTTCTATGAGGAAGTAACTAGGTGGATGGATGATGGTAGAGCGGTAGATGTGGTTTTTCTTGATTTCAGTAGGGCATTTGATACTGTCTCCCACAGCATCCTCATAGATAAGCTAAGGAAGTGTGGGCTTGACGATCAGGTAGTGAGGTGGATCAAGAGCTGGTTGAAAGGAAGAAGGCAGAGAGTTGTGGTCAATGGGGCAGAATCTAGCTGGAGGTCTGTGACTAGTGGAGTCCCTCAGGGGTCGGTGCTGGGACCAGTGCTGTTTAATATTTTCATCAACGACCTGGATGAGGGAACTGAGTGTACCCTCAGCAAGTTTGCTGATGACACTAAACTGGGAGGAGTGGCTGACACACCAGAAGGCTGTGCTGCCATTCAGCGAGACCTGGACAGGCTGGAGAGTTGGGCGGGGAGAAACTTGATGAAATTCAACAAGGGCAAGTGTAGAGTCTTGCATCTGGGGAAGAACAACCCCATGTACCAGTACAGGTTGGGGGTTGACCTGCTGGAAAGTAGTGAAGGGGAAAGGGACCTGGGGGTCCTGGTGGATAGGAGGATGACCATGAGCCAGCAATGTGCCTTTGTGGCCAAGAAGGCCAATGGCATCCTAGGGTGTATTAGAAAGGGTGTGGTTAGTAGGTCAAGAGAGGTTCTCCTCCCCCTCTATTCTGCCTTGGTGAGGCCGCATCTGGAATATTGTGTCCAGTTCTGGGCCCCTCAGTTCAAGAAGGACAGGGAATTGCTTGAAAGAGTCCAGCGCAGAGCCACAAAGATGATTAAGGGAGTGGAACATCTCCCTTATGAGGAGAGGCTGAGGGAGCTGGGTCTCTTTAGCTTGGAGAAAGGAGACTGAGGGGTGACCTCATCAGTGTTTACAAATATGTAAAGGGTGAGTGTCAGGATGATGGAGCTAGGTTTTTTTCAGTGATGTCCAGTGATAGGACAAGGGGCAATGGGTGTAAACTGGAGCATAGGAGGTTCCATGTGAACATCAGGAAAAACTTCTTTACTGTGAGAGTGACAGAGCACTGGAACAGGTTGCCCAGGGGGGTTGCGGAGTCTCCTACGTTGGAGATATTCAAGGCCCACCTGGACGAGTTCCCGTGTGACGTATTCTAGGTTACCCTGCTCTTGTAGGATGGTTGGACTAGATGATCTTTTGAGGTCCCTTCCAATCCTTGGGATTCTGTGATTCTGTGATACCTTTAACCCTTGGTTTTCTGAATATTCAGCCTTATTCTAATGAAAAGTCAGCTCTTGTTCAGATAAGTAATAGCTCTTTTTTTCTTCTTAAATTAGGGGAAAAGATTGAATAAAATGTAAGATATTGGGGTTTAAGCATGTTTTTCTACAACAGCATGACTCTCACAGTCCCAAAAAGCTAATAAAGTCTAACATCAGCAAAATGGCATGCTCCAATATCTGCTATATAGAAAATGTTATAACTTCTCTTTGAGTGAGTTTAACTAACATTTCAGCTCAAACATTAACTTTCTACAAGTTTTATGTGCAGTGTTTCTTCATTTGTAAGCCAGTGTTTGATATCTGCCCTGCTTTCAGATATTAAGCATTATCTTGATTAAAAATATCTTTCCTCATATCTTAAATTACAACTGCTTATATTCTGAAACTTGTTTGTTGGTCCTACAGGAGTCGGATGCTGCAATACCAGAGTCCCTCTATTCCTGTAAAGTTTGCAGGCCATGGTCAGGTGCCAGTGAGACGTCTCATCTATTTCTAGCTCTCTTTACAAGCCAAACACTACTCACAACTGCTACAAAAACTGGAGTCTAGTCATACTGCAGTGATATATCTTAAAAATAGGAACAACTCTTTTTCTTGGATGTGCTAATAAATTGTAAGAGCATTCAGCATTCACTTTAATATCACCCTTCTGAAAGGAACAAGAGAAGTCTCTGGCAAAAAGGATTTTACAGTTTGTACTGGAGTCACATTTTGAAAAAGCAATGATTTCATCTTTTTCTAAAAGAGCTTTCTTTGACTTGGTAGTTCAAAGGTGGAAAACACTACAAAGTACCAGTTAACAAGACAGTACAAGACAGACCAATCTAAGATTGGACATGCTGAGAAAGTAAGAAGGTATTATCTAGAAATGGGGTCTCATGTATGTATTTCATTTATGGACAGAGTTATGCTGCCCCCCAACTGTAACATCCAAGAAGCAATCACATATTTCACATGCATCCTGCTTTAGGTCTAACAGCAATTTTTTTTTTTTCCCATACACGTGGCTTGCAAAGCCAGCTAGCTCCAAACATCAAAGCACATATCTATCAGGATCACCGAGAAGCAGGAATTTACATTTATGTATGCTTTAAATTAGAATCCCTTTTGACTTGGTGTTTCACAGTAAAAGAAATATCACACATTCTCTGGTGTCCTTCTATGAAAGAAGATAGACCTGTTTTCCACAAGCCCTTCAGCATGTGTTAGAAAGCATGCATGTTTAATCTATAGTGAACCTTAACTGGTGGTCTTTCAAACCTTTGCCATACCATACTGCAATATTTGACAATTACACCATGAAGCATTTTTTAAATTGATAGCCTGTCTGTTGCAGATAAGCATGCACATAATCATGGTGCAAGAAATACCACGAAGGAAGGGAGTCATGAATGTCCCTTCATTATATTTAGATTACTAACATTTTTAGTCCACTAGGCTGTCTGGCACAGCATGACGTAAAAACTTCAGTTCTGCAAAGTAACTTCAGGAGCCACCATTCAGACTTCAGCACAGGTAACCCTTACAGAATCAGGAAAATAGAATCAGAAAACCAGTGAAAGTCACTGGGGAAAAAATTAAGGTCAAGAACCATTATGGATTAGTCACAAAAAGGGTTGTAAATGAGTCATGCACAGTGACAAGAAGAATTAAAGTGAACTTTTACATATAGTGGACAGCTATACAGCCTTTTCAAAGTCTTCAACTGATGATTAAAGTGGTTGGGTGGTTTCTTGATCAAAACTTGTCATCACAGCATGGAATTTCCTGAACTGCCTTGCTTTTCACTCAGGAAATACAATGATGACTTAAAATAAGGATAAGGATGGGAAAAAAATATTTCTCAGCTTTCCTTCTCTTCTTATTTTCTCACCTAAAGATCTTATCCACAATACACAATATAAACATCTGTTATATATCAACAACTGCTGGCTTCATAGCGCAAGTATTTAAGAAATATAGTTAGAGACATCTGCTACACCATGCTGTCAGCTCAAATGATCTGCCAGCCTCAGGTGTTCTTTTCAGAGCTAGTGCCTTTTCATATCTAGAATTATGTAGACCTCTGCTTCATGCAAGTGTTGCACAGCAAACGAAAGAACAATTCTGTAGAAACAGTAATTTAAATACTTGTACTTTGGAAAAGCAGAAGACAAGAGCACAAGCAGCTTTCCAAAACAAAGTCCTCACAGGCCTCTTAGGGAGGCTAAAGTGGCAGAAGGAGGGGATTTTATATTATTTGACATATATTAACCCTTGCAAATACATATTTGTTACAATCTCATGATTCATTCTTAAAGACCTCAGGGGACATTTTCCTGACACTTTGATTTTTTACACTTGGCAACCTTTCTTCTTTAGATGCAAAACATAACGTTCCCTTTATCTTCCATCTTCATATCCACTTACAAGACAAGCATCTTCTATAACAGGAGTGGCACTTCAGTGATGGGAAACTGATGTTAGAAGAAGAGAATCAGATCCTTAGCCACTGAAGACTGAAGATGTGATAAGCTTCCTAGGTGCATAAACTCTTTTGAAACTGTTATAGTCTTCTAAATTCTATCAAAGTTTATTTTCAAACATATAAAACTGATTTCTCTTCACAAAAACCCATTTAAAAAAAAACAGTAAAAAAATATATTTTTTTAAATCACTATGTAGATTTCCAGGTACAAACCACATTAAGAGAAGTCTTAATTATTTACAATACAGTTACTCCTTAAACACGGGTTGACCTTGGCCAGCCACTGACTCATTCCCCCTCCTCAACAGGATCAGGTGTGTGGGAGAAATAAAATGAAAAGGCTTGAGGGCTGAGATAGGGAGATCAGTTACCAATTAGTTTCACAGTCAAAACAGACTCAACCTGGGGGAAATTAATTTAACTAATTGCTAATTAAGCATTTCAGTGGTGAGAAACAAAGACAAACTAAAACATCATTCTCATAACTCTCTTCATCCCAGCCTTAGCTTCATTCCCAACTCCTCTTTCTCCTTCTCATCCCCAAGCAGGGCAAGGGAACGTGGCCAGTCTATAACAGCCCCTCTCTGCTGCTGTTTTCCCCTGCTTCAGCATGGATCCTTTCCATGGGCTACAGCTTCCTGCAAGACACACTCCAGCACAGGTCCTCTGTGCACTGCAGCAAGGGCATCTGCTCCGCTGTGGTCTCTGCATGGACTGCAGTGCAATCCCTCATCCTTCTCACACCTGAGTACTGAAGGGCTGTTTGTCACACTTTTTTTTTTTTTTCTCTCTGCCCTCACTGTATAGGCAAGTTTTCTCCCTTTCTTGAGTACACTTGCAAGATGCCACCAGCATCACTGAGGTACTCAGTGGTGGCTGCATGGGTCCTCCTGCAGAGCTGCCTGGGACCAGCACAAGGCAACTCCTGGTCTCAGAGGTCTCTGCAGACCCCCCTGCTGCCAACACCTCACCCAATACACACAGTGCAAAGCATTTAATTGCAGTTTTAGGTTACTGAGCTTGAGAAAGAAAAACCAATTTAAGTTGTGGAAGGAACACTGAGGGAACTCTTTTCCCACTTTACATGGGTTATATGAATGACCCATGCAATTACCATTGTTCAAATTGTGGATTTAGACTAAATGGATTTTCAAGTCTGTTTTCCCTAATCCCTTCTCTCCTACATCCATGATAGTAAGTGTAAGATTTCAAAATGATCATGACAGTCACACCTCTCAAATATGAAATATTGGTGGCATGTAGTCTTCAACTAGACCTTTCTGAGAAAGCACTTAGTTTCTTGCATGAAGGCATTCAGACAAGAGCAGAAAAATAATCCTAGAGAAAATGCTACTGGAAGGCTTTCTCAAAATATTAGGAGTAAACTAACAGCTAATTTTAGCTCTGGGGGTCAGATTCATTTGTGCTCTCTGGTTTCTTTTTTTGTTATGTTGTGCCAGATGCGCAGCTAGCAGACTGAATATACTGGATTTACAACTGCCTTGCATCATCAGGGTAGCTCCAAGCAGTGGGAGCTTGCGATTCACTGCTGCCTGAAACAATCCCTGGCTCTTATTTTCCTCCCCTTCATGCTGTTGCCCAGTATGAGCTCACACACATCCCCAGCTCTCCCCTTCAGTTAACAAACTCAGCTGAAGTGCATTCAACTGCAGCCAGGAGGTAAGAATAAATAAAAGCAGGGGACACTTGAAGGATGACATATGATGGAAAAAATGCCCAAACAGAAAATATTTGGTATTTCCACTCCAAATGGTCAGTATTTCCTACATGGAGAAATATACATGTTGTCACGTCTATTCCATTGTCACGGAAAGAGCAAAGACTTTGGCTGCTTTGCTTGCCACTAAAATGATCAGGATAAATTTTTATTTTTTTCTAAGACAACTGTCATCAAAAACATCTTCTCCAACCCACTGTTAAGCTCAGGCACTTGTCCTTGGCCTCACATTAGCCACATCAGGTATTTTTGTGCCCTGCCATCTGCTTTACTGATCCTGACTCACATATTTTAATTCCCAACTCCGATTCAGTCTTGCCCCATCATTATGAACTTCCTTAATTAAAGACCACCAGGTAGTAGATGACCCTGGTCACTGCCAGGACACCTGCTTGTTCACCTCACTCACTTGCTGCAGGACTGTGTTCCTCATAAAGAAAGGTACTGCCATTCTGGCTGGCATACTTGGCTCCCTTTGCCTCACATAGCAGCCAGGTCTTGCTGCTTCCTGGCATTGCACTTCTCAATCAGGTGGCTGCATCCTCATATTACCTTCACTTCAAAAGTGAGAAACAAGTACTGAGAAAGATTATTCCATCTTGAAGTCCCCTATGTTAGCTATGCTGGTAAAATTTCCCTGTCAGAAGTATGTGTAGAACTTAATTTCTGATTCTGTTTAAGCCATTTCTCATCAAACTGAGCTAGAAATAGAAAACTCTGATTACTGGAAAATAGTGCCTATATAGGAACATTTATTGACATGCTAACTTCACTGTAACAGTATAGCCCAATTAAAGTAATTTTTTCCATGTAAATAAGCCGCATGGTAACATCATGACATCTGTGGCAGTGTTATGTACATAGAGGAATGTATGTAAGCTTAGAGAGTTTAGAGATTTTTGTATTTTTTTTTTATTGCACAGTTATTGGCTTTCTCTCTCACATCTTCTTGTGTTAGGGTCACAATTAAAACAAATAAAAAAAGAAAAGGCAGATAAGATAGTATGGAGAAAGCCACCTGAGGAATACAGCTACCTCTTCTCTGCACTCAAAATGTAATCACAAGCTCCTTCCAACTGCAAGCATCAACCATGGCCCTAGTCAAGAAAATACTGTGTCCTTGTCTCCATTATTTTTATTCTGTTATATATTCTTGGAGCTTGGCAAGTAAGAAACACTCTGAATACAGCACAAGAGTTTTTACAGGCAAATATTGTCTGCATGATTTCAACACTTAAAAGTCTGCTTGCTGGCATGGTCAATAACATGTGCCTATGACCAAGATAGCAAGTCAGGCTTTGTTTTTAGCTTAGGTGCTTTTGCCTGGCAAGGACTGCAATAAATGTCCCTCAGCAAGTCAGTTTTACAAGTGTGAGCTCTCACAGGTGAAGTTATCACTGAAAGCATTTAAAAACAAAGGACAAGTATTTGGGCATTATATCCAATTTTTGTTCATTTTCTATAATGGTTGTTCACCAGCTCAGCATATTCCAGAAGCAATTTTGCATTGTTTGCCTGCATCATAGAGGTAGCTGCTGTAGCAAACAGAAACAAGTCCAAACTTGCTTCCAGCTGCATAAGACAGAAAGAAAGCAGTGGCACCATGGCTGCCAGCAGCTCAATGCAATGCTCAGTGTCTTTTTCATTTTTTCAGCTCCTTTAACCTGCTTTTAATCATCTTGGACTGTATAGGTGTGTGGAGCAGCACAGCTGCAGACCCAGCTCTAGCTCAGACAGGGGTGTACAAGTTTCTGTCAGCAAGCTGAGCTTGAAGATGGAAATTAAAAACTTCCGTCAGACATAGGAAAAAAACAGAAATACTTAGTCTTCCTTTCACATAGGCCTTATTCCAAAGTGACTTAGAGACCATAGTGGTTTACTATAGATAATATCAATTTAAGTTGCCCATGCAACGAGTGACAAAGACTATATCTACTTTCGTTGCCATTCTTTCCATGCATTTAAAAAACATATGTGTTCTTAAGCCTCAAATCCACCAGTGCTGCCAGAGCCCACTATAAGCAAAGTTCTTCACCCAATCTGAACATTATTATTAGATACATAGTTTGCTGAACAACTGCCAGTTGCTCAGTTAACATAAATTGTCTCTGCAGCACTAAAGCCATTTTGTGAACGATTGACTCCTGGTATATAAAGGTGAGTACAAACATGTATATATGAATAAGAAAATTGGTTTAATAGAGCCCAGGCTGTATATAAGAGTTCCACAAAAAAGCAAACACTTGACTAACACATAAAGTCAAATTACATTTTTTTTCTAAGGCAGGTGCTTAAATGAAGAAGCTGTACCCCATTCCCCAGTCAGTGGTCCATTTTGCTTACAGTTTAACTTGCTAGGAAACAGATGGCAAATATACACAGACAAGAAAGAAAATCTTACAAAGTTTGTAACCCACTTTACCTGAGAATACCAGCACACAAAATCTCATAACCCTTTAGGAGAAATCCCACAACGACTTTTTTTTTTTTTTTTTACATCTTGGAAGTCCAATACGATTCCATCTGTATTGACAGGTAATACTGCCTTTGCTTCAGCAGTCCTGTAGTCCAAACAGGTGAACCTCAGTTGGAGAAAGTACCTACTCTGAAGCTATTCTCTTTATAGCCTGCCAGTTTCTGATAGGTGGTTGATCACGCATTTACAAGCAGCTGTGACTTGTGGAAGGCAACAGCAATAACTGGACTATTCTCTGTGGTAAGAAAGCTTCAGAAAGGGGTATAATTTTGGTATTGGATCATTCACCCACACATACTTCAGTGGAAGATAGTGGTTATAGGAAAAAGGGAAGGCAAAAGTTGCTGAAAGTTAAAATAAACGGAGACCTTCTTATTTCAATTGGAAACTGTAACTCCAAGCCAACAGAGTTCTTGGAGTGGCTGTAGTATCACAGGAATAAGTTTCATCTGAGGCTGAATTAAGCCCACAGTTCCTAAAGGGACATCTCTTTCTATGAAAGGAATTATGTCAATTATATTAATTGCAGTCTGTTGCAATTAGAAGACTTCAGAAGCTAGTGGTAGTCCAAGACATAATTCTGAATTATGTCCTTTTTCCTTGATTCATCAAGGATGCCAGCCTCTTTTCAGAGCTGCGTGTTAGATACCATGAATTAATTGCTGCACAAAAATGACAACAGGACAAAGCCCTTAAAGTTCAGTTCATAACAAAAAAAAACCCCCAAAAAAAAAAACCCAAACTAAAAAATTAAAAGAATGAATAAAACCCCAGAGCAACTAATTATTCTCTACTCATGAACAAGAAAAGAACAAAATAAATAGGAATACAGGAAGGACACATTTTATTCCATCAAGATTTAACTGCACCATTACTTTGGCTCTTTATGGGCTTATGTCAAGTAGAATCAATCTTTGATTTATAATATGTGCTTTGTAACCTGGTTCTATTTTTCTAAGTATCGGTTACCTAAATTACTCCACAATGTTAAATCCATAAATATTACATGCCATATCTTCAGAGTTCCAGTGAGGTGTTTAGCTGTTAATCAAGCTGTTCATTTCTTGATTTTAGTTGTTTGGTTCCACTCTAACTGTTGTTTCTTTGGTATTAGGACATAAGTATTAGAAATCAGCAAGTGACTATTCTGCCAGCAGTAATGTCTGACTAATGCTAAACACATATATTGAAACACAGTAGCCTTTTATTTTTGACATGAATGAAAACACCTACTGATATAATTTTGAAAACCAAGTAAATATAGTTAACTTTGGAGATGGCAATTACAAAGAAAGAGGGGAAAAAAGGGTGACATGCAAGCAGTCTGTAGGATTATCTCTATTCCCTACAAACTGGGAAAGGTCCTTTGTTCAGGACTTTTAGCTACAGAGACAGCAAAAAGCCTGCAATTATTGCATATTAAAAATGTGAGTTCTCATACTGCAGGTGGAAAGCTGTGAGATCTCAAGTGACTGATGTTTTTTTCCTGTGTAGAGAACATCTTGACTACTCAGCACTAATGAGTCTATCCAAGAGAAAGGTTGATATGTTGATACAGTGATGTTGCTGTCAAAATGCATGCAACCCCACTGGGCAAGAATTCAGCTGCCATTGTATCAAGGATCTGCTTTTCCAGTCTTCTGACAGCAGCATCCCAAATCTGTCAGAATGAGGGGCACTGCATTGTTACTCTTTATTACATCTTGAATCATATGAATGACTGTACTAGGTCAACCCAAAATTTAGTCCAGACCTCTATCCTGTTTCTGATGGTACATGTTTAGGGCTAACAAGCATCCTTTCCCAGCCTCTACCAATTTCTATTTCAAGAACTTTCCAAGCAGGGCTATGGTCTCTTGTAATCATTTGCCTTGGCTGGCTTTAGTTAATTTGCCCAATTATATTGTTAACCCACACAATTTTTTGGCCACCCTGAACACCTTGTTTCAACTCTTTAAACATGTTTTATTGAAAACATGTAAAGTTTTTGGGAGATGGGGAGTTCGTTTCTTTTCCTTGGGCCTGAGACATTTCCATTGATACTGATAGAGGGGTAACATAACAGTCCCATAGAATTTTTCTCTATTCCGCTCATAATTTATAAATCTCAGTCTCATACCTTTCTGCAAGCCTGTTCCCTGCCTCTGGTGCAAGGAAGCTTTCTTGCCTTTCTGTGTTGGTTTTCTAGAGCTTTCCAATATTTTTTGAGCCAGGGGATCAGAACACCAGATAATACTCAAGATGTAGGGATATTATAATTATATACAGTGCTGTAATTACCTCTTTTGGGATTTTTATTCCACTCTGTTCCTTTCTTAAAAATTCCTAACATGATTTAATTTTGACTGTTATGGAGCAATTATGTGAAGACTTCATAAATGTATACATTATAACTTCTCAAGTTGTAAGATTTTGGAATTCAGTATTGAAGCCTGGACTGTTTTTCCTGTATGCCTCATGTAATATTATTCATTAGTGTTGAATTTCACTTACTATTTTAGTATCTGTTAAGTTGCTGTTCTGAGATACTTCTGAAAACGTTTCTTGATTTGGCTTTCCTCTTTTTTGCCTGAGTAATTGAAGATCACCAGTAAACCCTATCACCGTCAGTCAGCTAGTGAAGACCTAAACAATGCCTGGCACAGATGTCTGAGGGAGGCTATTGATGATCTTCATTCACTTAGAAAGTTGGCCTTAGAGTCTTCATTTCCTATATTTTTAACCAAGTGATAATAACCCATTTCAGGGGCTTTTGGATTTTACAACCAGCATGTTTGTTTCTTTCAGAGACCTTGAGGAGACATCCAGGTAGATCAAAAGATCATACAGCAGGATTGGATTAGATCAACCAACAGTCCATATGGTAAGGTGGCCTGTCTTCAGCAATGACCAATAAGAGATGACAAGGGAGGCATGGACACGAGCAAACATGCAGTAATGTTTTCCCACAGTATTTGCTTCCAGCAGTCTGTAGATCAGTAACTTCTTTAGTTGATTAAATCAGCTAGGTCACCTTGTCCATGCATTCATAGTTTAACGGAAGTGCAGCACATCTCTCAAGTACGTCACAGCTCTATAAATGCCATTTGGACTATATTTTAATGTTTCAGATCTACCTATGAAATCACTAATTCTTTTCTTTGTTATAGAAAGACAGCAACTTGAATTCTAGGAGACAGTCATGGGCTTACAGAGTTAACAATTTTCATCCTCACTGGAGCTCCCACTTTTATTTCAGCATAACAAAAAACACAGAAAAAGTATCTCTGAAGTACAAATTGACAGTTGGTTGTTTGTGGTTTGTTTTGTTTTTTTTTTTTTCCCATCAAGGAACCCTTAACATTAATATGATATCTGTTAATCTATCTCCAACGAGGAGTATTCACAGTTAGCTAAGATGACTGTACTCAAATTGCTATTTAAAGACCTTTAAAGACATTATGGTAAATAACACAAAACACGCTTTCTTCCCAAACACCTGATGTATAACATCTGTCTCTTTCCCCATAAAATTCTCTTTCTATTAAAACATTGATAATACCTTTTAAAGGGTTATAAAATAGTGAATTGCTGAATTTAATTTTACTTAATTTCAATAGAAGTTTGAAAGTAATGTATGGATCATGTTTGTGTGAACAACTGAAAGGCTGTGGAAATAACAAAGGTATCCTGAAAACCAGTTATATTTTCCATAATGTTATTATGCTGAAAGGAAGCATTGGTATGTATGATTTTTGCAAATTTTTACAAATACTGAGGAGTGATATTGAAATGTCTTAATACCACCTGCTGAGTAACATCAGTTACAAAGCAGAATGTTGAAATGAGTGTCCTAGCCATCTTTGGGAAGTGTTTGATATTTTTAAAAGGGATGTATTTACTTTTTTCTAATAGGATAAATGTAGCAAACTTGATCACTTCAAATTAGAACCGAGTTACTATCTTTACAGTACTGAAAAAGCTACAAGCAAAAAATATCTATGAGACAGACTCAACTCTGGTATCTGAAACTTTCCACCTTCTATTCTCATCTAACTTTGCTTCTGAGTGCCTCAGGAGGCACCTTTCCATTCGTCAGTAGCCTGTACCCTTGTCTTGTGGGGTGAGAAGAGATTCCTGTGAGTAGCCCACAGAGTGCATCGCTTCATCTCACCAGCAACTGAGGGCCTGAATGTGTGGCATTTATTGGGGTTTCCCATTCAACAAATCCTCTACCCCTACCAGTTCATCCCTGGCAGAGGTAAGGGAAGGCAAGATCCCATGAAACAGATATTTCAGAGAACATACCATGTTACCAATCACTAATAGCTATTACTAATCTGCTCCTAATATCCTGATTGTTGGTGGTTTTTCACCTCCTGCCACAGACATATATGTAGAAGCATGGGGAATGGTAAAATGCCTTTTCTGAAGATTTCTCTCATCACCTAAATGGTGATTATTCAGAAGTGCTAAATGGGGCAAACAAAACCAACTGATCAAAGATAATATGATCCATCATCTCTGGCTTCTGGATAATTTTGTTCTTGGACAGCCTCAGGGACCAGAATAGCTAGTGTAGATTGCAGGGAACCAGCAAGCCTCAGCAATACCCCTTTTTTCATTCTTCCCCCTGAATATAATTTCATTACCAGCTTCTGAAGAAAGTACTGCAGTACTTTACCAGCTCTGTCCTCTAAACTGCTCCCTTTGCAGTGAGATTATTTTATTAATTCATGTCCATAACAGCTTCACAATATCTATCAGTGGTACCAAAAAAAAAAAAAAAACAAACCAAAAACAAATACAAAAACACAAAACCACACAAAAAAAAAAAACCACAAACCAACAAAAAAACCCAACCAACCAACCAAACAAACAAAAAAAACCACCTAAAAAAAAGTGCCCCATAAAATGTGATTCATGTGTCTCAAGGGTTGGCCTGCAGAAAAAAATTTGTTTCACTTATCCCAGTAGCTAAATAAAGAACATGAACCTCAGGGAACAGCAAGAGAAAAGAAAAGAAGCATAACACACTGGCATAAGCTCTAAGGTAGTATTCCTTTCTTTACTGCAGGAACATGTGTTAACACCAAAATGGGGTTGCCTATGACTTTTGAGCCTTAAGCTGGCATGAAGAGATATAATGTGAGCC